ATAACCTCGACACAACACTCTGTACATGCGTACATTGTACGAACGTATAAGATCCGATGCGTGGAAGAAGTAAAAAAGTTATACCGATACCGATAACAGATGGAGAAATTAGTCAAATTGTTCTTGCGAACGAATGATTTCGTTGAATTAATCGTACGTGAAATCGATCTCGCGATACGGACAAACTAAACTAAACAACGAAACGACAAGTGTGCAAACTTGCAAATTTATCATCATTTATCATCACTCGACACAACATTGCCTTTGAAGTGAAAACGGTGATGGAAGAACGGGTAATTAGTACGAAACAAACGAAGCACTTGTTCATCTTCCATCTGAATCTACGATATTCTACGATATTCAAAAGAATTTAAAGAAACGTACATCGCCGCATATCATCGATATCATCTCGTAACGTTCAAATCAAATAAACCCATTTTGTACTCGATGACGATGATAATACTTTCTTCTATCGCATTTGTGTATGATATTTTGATAATATATCATACTTGGCCGATTGGCGACAAACGGTCAATAAATATCGAAAACTCTCGGAACTCGCAAAGAAGAATCAAAACGAAACAATTGACGTGAATGGCTGCACTACTATCGGTTACGCAACCACGCAAAGATACGATGACACGAAATAACAGTATGCTCGATTTATAAAATACTTTCTGCATCGCCACTCTTCAACGTACTCCTTTTTCCCACATCCCTTTCTATAAATTTGACCGACGATTCGCGCGCAAGCGCGCGCGCGCGCGTGTGTGTGTGTGTGTGTGTGTGTGGTGTGTTACGAAATATATACCACGAAAGCGTAACGTTAAATTACAGTAGGTGTAACATGAAAAATAAGAAGAAATTTGTCACTAGATATCGACGATAACTACAACGATGTCGACCCAAGGTCGATACCTGGAGAGAACAACAAAATCGACGTGTAGAAAAAGTTTCTTCCGTACATGTACAGATGTTTGTTCTGCGCGCGAGTATGGGAAACTATTTATCTTTTCGAAAGTATTCG